TATATATATATATGCTTCAAAAAGGTTTGCCACCCACCCCAAATCCACTCTCGTTATCCCCACACCTGGCAATGCCCCCTTCACAGGTGGTGCAAGCGTACTCTCCTTCCCCCAGAGCCCAGACCTCTCCATCTCAGCTCCTTACTATGCAGATCACCATTGCTTCTTCAGCTGTTGTTTAAAAAATTTATTTGGGGGGGGGGGGAGAGAGAGAGAGAGGGAGAGAGAGAAAGAGGGGAACATTGATTTGTTGTTCCACCTATTTGTGCATTTTTATATGTGCCCTGACCAGAGATCGAACTCACAACCTTGGCATATCGGGACAATGCTCTAACCAACTGCAAGGCACTTCTTTTAGTTGTTTTAAAACTTGATCCCTTAGCTCACTGCCCAGATCTACCCAGGAGAGAGCCCAGGAGGTGTCCCAGTATTCAGGAAGCCTGAGTAAGATGCAAACACATGTTACGTGGCTTCTTTCATCCCTTTCCAGTCTCAAGCAGGCTCCTTCTTATCAGGGGGCTGTGTGTCTGCCATTCTTCACTGGAACACTCTGGTCCCCTTCCTCCCTCTTTAGTCCACAGCTAAAGTGACCCTCAGCAGGGTCCCAGACCAGGGCAATCTGTCCCCCCAAACTCTCAGGGCTCCCATCACAATGAAATCTATAGACTCACACTGAACTGTAAGTTCTAGATGGGTAGCAACTGTGTCTATTTGGTTTATGACCAATTTCCAAAGGCCCAACCCACAGTTTGGCACAACAGGCTCTCGAAAAATACTTGTTGTAGCTGCATATTCCGGTCTGACTCAGAGCTCTCCTCTCTGCAAACATCCTTGGTTTCTCTCTTCTGAAAGACCCGGGATTTGCTCCTTTCTTGCCCATGGGACACCAGCCACCAGCCCTAGACTGAGCAGAGTCCTGAGCCCCTGTCCCTGTTACCTGCAAACAACCCCCTTCTCTAAATGCAGGTGGATTACCAAGGACTCTTCTCTGGGGACCTGTGACGGATCTTATCCGCACTCTACTGGACCCTCTCCTCTATTTACCTTCCTGAGTGGACGAGGGAGGCATGCATTCCTCCCGACCCTCCTTGGCTCTCCACCCCCTTCCCATTCCCCCACCCCCAACTTCCTGGCCAGATGTAATATGGCCCTGCTTAGGCTTCCTTCTTCAGCTCAGAGCCTGGAAGCCAGGCGTCTCCTAGTCCTTGTTCCTTTGTCTTAAGCTGGTGACCAGAGAGAGACCAGAAAACCAGCCTGGCCCTCTACCTCCCCCTTAGGAAAGACCAGGCACTGACGTTCCGGATGTGTCTCCATCCCCACATCCTTCCTCGGTGGGTGTGGAGGGCCCTCCCCACCTTCACCACCGGAAAAACCGAGACTGAAGCGGAGACGGCTGCTGGGCTGGAGCCATCTAATTGTGTACACAAGACAAGGCCCTCAGTCCCCTCGCCCCAGTCCCAGACCGCTGTGGGGCCCTGAGCAGCGGTTCCACGGGAAAGGGCGGTCCCTGGTGGTGAGGAGAAGCATGGCAGCCTGTCCCTTTCCAGGACAGGCAGACAGGAAGGGGCATGGGAGGGAGGACCGGCCCACAGGCTTTCATTACCATCTGTTACGGATAGAAAGGCCTTGCTTCCAATGGCAGAAATCCGTGGCGTCCCATACAAACGCAAGATTTAAAAAATATGTACAAACAATACTAAGGCAAAAATTCAACCACAACGCCACTATACCTGGAAGGTGTTATGAAAACGGTCAATTTCTGTTTGTGGTTTTAAAACGGCAGTTTTAACAAACGTATTGAAAACATTCATGTGCTAAAGACATTGCTGCTAAAATGGGAACCCTGCTGTTGCATCAGGATGTGCAACCAGTGTAGGTGCAGGCGTTCCCATGTACAGAATGTGGGTGCTCCCAAAGTCCTGGAGGGGAAAGAACCCAACTTTTGGTAAACCATCCCCTTAGCCACATTCCCGGTAACGACCTAATAATCCTGCCCTGTGGCTTTAACTGCACCCAGATGGCTGTATATCTGTGCAGGAAGCAGCGAGAGGCGTTCGATGGCTTCTGGCCCATCACGTGCAAGTAACACGGGCTCTTCCTGATTCGAGAGTGAGGTGCTAAGTCCTGGGACACAGAAGCTCGCTGTCAGCTCTCGGCCGAGGGAGCGATTAGGCTCTTACTAAAGAGCCCAGGAACTGGGGCAAGGGTGTCTCCAAGTTTCGGTGGTATCTATCTTTTGTCTAAGCAGAGAGGCTGTGGAACAAAAGGCTGCTTGTCTTAACAGAAACACTTGGGAAACCAAGCCTTTGAGAACCTCCCAGGCAAAAACGGGCATGCTTAGAGACCACCTGCCAGTTTAGTACGACCTCCGCTCCTGCAACCAAGGGAATCTGAGCAACCCACTGGGCATGGCCTCTCTGGAGTTGTTTCTGTTTCAAGATTAAATGGAGTATTTCTAGAACGTAGCTGGTCACGACCTAACTACAGAGGAATACATCTCACCGACGTTACCGGGTCTTGGCTATAACTTCATAAACCAGGCCTCTTCTTATCAGCCTTGGCGGGCAGGGACACAGCAGCCTATGACCACATGAGAAAGTGCAAAAACGGAAAATGGAGTTGGAGACACAAAGTCCAATGTGTTGCTGGCCGCTGTGGTGTCACTGCTCCCGATACCGGTGTAACCTGAATCCTCACTTGGGAGCCAGAAATCAGCTGAGAAGAGGCCTCTGGAGAGAGCCGGCCCTGGCCCCGAGGGTGAATGAAGTGGGGCGTCAGCACAGCCCATCCCACCGAGCAGGCTGGACCCCGAGTTCCTGACTGGCACTGAGGGGTTTGGGTAAGTTCCTTCTGTCATCGCTGGGTAGCCTGGGGAGTTAGGACGAGAGTCTGGCGCTGGCCCTGAGGAGTGAGCAGAGCACTGGGGGCGCACTGGAGGAGAGGGCCTGGTTAGAACTTCCTGGCACCCCCTCCCCCAGCCTTAGGCGCATCGCCAGGTAAAGCTCATGCCTGGGCGCCAGGCGCTGAGCGGTCAGACACAGCGGCCCAATATGCGGACCAACATCCCAGGACACGGAGGACCCAGCCTCCCGGGCTTCTCCAGGAGACCTGGGGCCACCCAGGGGTGCTAACAGGCTTGGTCCTTCCTCAGGTCGGGGCTACTCTTCCTTCCAGGGAAGGGCGTTTGCTGGGGACGGTGGAGACAGGTCAGGGAGGTGCCCTCTCCGTCTCCCGGGCGACGGGCCCACGCCCCCACACCCCCACTCCACCCCGGTCCCCTGATGCGAGGGTGGGCGAGGCTCGGGCTCCC